GATCAGTTGCTTATCTTTTATTTTTAAGTAAAGTTGGTTTGCCCCCCCCCTGAACACAGTTCAGATTTTTCATGTGGCCCCCTATAGAAATTCATTGCCCACCCCTGGGATACCGGCTGCTGCCTTTTGAGAAAGGCTGGGTGGCTTTAAATGCAATGCACGTTTCCAGAAGCAGCTACCATCTTCATTGAACGCAGAATGCAAAAAAACTGCGGAACAGGGTGGTTTGCAAATATAGTAGGACTCCTTATCCGCGGGACTCCTTATCCACTGATTCAATCATCCACGGTCTAAAAACATTAAAAGTGAAATCTTAGAAACAAATATTTCTGAAGGTGAAGTTATCGGAGCTAGCGTTCTCTGTTAAGAGTATTAACCATAATCCACATTTTTTTGCAAAGGCAAAGCAGAAGAACCGATGAACATTTAAAACATGTCCATAAGCAGAAGCAACCGCTTGCTTTTCAACCCTTAGCCAGATCAGATGTTTGAAGGCCTTTGAGAAGCAGGGAGAAAAGCGTGCCCTGTCAGTTCAAGCGCATGCTGACTGGAGAGAATAGGGGTTATAGCCCAAAAATAAAAGGTTGCTAAGCTATGGCCCAATCTCCACTAGCAGGGAGTTCCTGAGACTTCATTATACTTCATCTCAACATTGTTTTTTTCAATTTTAAGAAATGCCATAAGAGGATTTTTAATATGGATAAGATACTTGGTTTGCCTCTGCTGCTTATCATATCGTGGTTCCCTTATTTGGGGGTGGTGTATAGGTACATATATGTGATATCCTGTGTGGGGCAGTGGGTAAATTAATGACTGAGACTCCAGAGACCTGGGTTCGAATCCCCACTCAGCCATTAAAACTCATGGGGTGTGTGGAACTGGTAAAACCACTCTTTAAATAGCCCTGTTAGGATCACTGTAAGTCTATGGCCCATAACAACAAGTGTATATATGCCTTCTGCACTGGATAAAAAATGAGATTTTTAGAGACTTTAAGGACCATTTTAATGGGGGAAAATACATGACGTACAAGATGGCAGTAGAGCTGGCTGGAGAGCTCAGTGGTTTAAGTCTCTGAGCGTTGCAATATGAGGGTGCCCGTCTGAAAACAGAAATAGAACATGGAGAATGCAGGAAAAGAAGGAAGCAACTTAGCCATCATCCTCTTAGAACTGCTTAGCTGGAAGGGACCCTGTGCCGGCCCTCATTGAAGTCCCTTGAACTGAGTTTTCTGCTTGTTTGTTTGTTGTTGTTGTTGTTGTTTATTAACAATTTAGGATAGGGTAGGGGATACAACAAGTAAGGGAGGGATATGAGGAAAAAGGAAAAAGAAAGAGGGGGAGTGGAACATAAAATATGTTGCCATATCAAGATGATTTTCCATTTTTCTGCTATACAGTTGCCCTCCAGCAGAAGAACTGACAGAAGAAGTGGTGTCAAATTAGAGGTCAAAAGTGGCGAGCTTCCAGCCTGCTGCGGCTTTCAGGAAGTTAACACTAGGAAATCTGGCTGTGTGATACCTTCTGGGGCTGCCTTGCCTCCAGGAGCCTCATCCCCACCGTTGGGGGTCGCCTCGCTTGACCATCTGTGTAACTTTTGCTCTCCAGGAGCCTCGCTTGACCATCTGTGTAACTTTTGCAGAGCATTGCCACTGACCGTTTGAGTCGCAAAACAAGTTTTTAAACAAAATGGTGCGTTATAGGAAAGCTTCCTGTCTTGACACTATAACCGAATAGCAAAATGGGTAGCTGTGGGAGTGATGCTAAAATACAGGACTTGAATTGTAGTGGTTTTAACCTCCTTTCGTGATGCTAACGTAATAAGCACAATACAGTACTTGAATTGTAGTGGTTTTAACCTCCTTTTGGAGATACGGTTTTAAGTGTGTCTCTTGTTTAATTCCTGAAGTTGCTTCTGCATCTCAAAGAATACAGGCATAGAAGTAATTTTATTTTTTTAGTATTT